ATAGTGAATGCAAAAAACTAAAGGTTTAAAGGGATGTAATGACGTAATAGTTACATCATGCCTTAGGAGCATGCGCACTTGTAAGATAGAAGCTAGACATGTGTTTATGCATCGAAGGAGTACTATATTACACCCCCCCCACCAAGATTTCCGTCACTGGTGAGAAATAAAACTTAGTTTAGGTGAAAGATTTTATTACATACCAAATTTCTCGTTTTGTTCGGAATTTCCACGTTTATGGTCCGGCTGTCTAGTGTTATTTTGGATAAGACGACGTTGGTATACGATTACACCGAGTGAGAGGAGAAAACATAGGGCGAAAATAACCAGTGGAATTATGAGATCCATACGGGTTTTCTCGTCATTGGATTGTTCTGAATTTTGATTAATAATACATTCCACTACAAAAAATACAAAGTTTGCAGTATTTCTCATAACGATCAGTTGACAAATGCACGCATATCCCCTTGAATATCTTATATGGTGAGCAATAATTTATGTAATGAAAAATATCAAATTAAGTAATTAGGGATCACTTACCTGGAGCTTTTATCAATGTTTTAACACCGCTACTCCATTCCGTCGAGTAATATGAGTCCTAAACGATAATATAATAGTTAATATGTGTTCTTTTGTTTTCACATTGTCATGGGAGAAATAAACAAACCTGATCTGAATAACCCTCATCTCTTACTAATATTTACCTGACTTTCAAAAAATCTCAGGAACACGATATAACTTGAGTTCAACTTAAGAGGTTGGTTGATGTATTTTTCTTGTTCAGAATTATACTCCTTGCCATCACCGATCACGAACGTCAAAGGTAGAACATCAGCTTTCAAATAAGCAGTGATATAAGGATCATTCATGTTTTCCCGGTAAGGCTTGAGATCGCTTGTTTTGATGTTTTCGCTTAGCGTTGAAGTCATTTTGGCATTTTGAACGATGACCATCACTTCTCTAAATCATTATACATATCATGTTATATGAACAAAAGGATTTAAGAGCTAGCACGAGAGATGTTGGCTGGTATGGCTACTATATGGACATGTCACACTCACAGGTGTTATAGTAATAGGTATACCAATCGAGCCAAAATACATTGAGAGAGGACGCGCAAGCCATCAGTATGCATGCAAGGGCAATATTCATGTAAAAAAGTACCTGATGTAATCCTTTGGTTTAGGTATATTTAAAATCAGAGTGTAATAGGACGTTGTGGATGGATTTACTGGCTCTAAAGATAAGAAAAATACTAAAACCATCAGATAACTTTTATTGACTTTTAACTTTATTGTAATTTCATTGATGAAATTAGTTTTTATGATTCATATTTTATATATTTATATATAGGACCTCTCTGAAAATTACTTTACGTGAGAGAGTTTCCTATTAAAATATTGTCATAATAATAATCATAAAATTGAACGACTGGATACAGCAAATGATTGTGCAGCAAATATGCTAAGACAGACTTAATTTTGTGACACAATGTTTTGAGGTTACGGTTATTGAGAGCTTTTTCAAATTACATGCCAACTATTCATATTGACTAAATTACCTCCATTTGTTATTTTACTGACTGCCAAACTTTTCTCTCCATAACCAGCTTTTGTGCTGGCTGAAACCGTCACAAAGTACTTTGTTGAAGGTTTGAGATTGTCGAGGGTACGTGAAAGTACTTTAGCGCTTGTATTAAATACTAAGAATACCGGAGCAGTGTCCTCCCTTGTATAAAAGCAAACTTGATATCCTGTCAGTTCGACGTTCTGTAAACTTTTAGGAGCTTTCCAGGACACTCGTAGTGAGGTTTTACCGCGGGAGTTAAAAGCCACGTTCAATGGAGGTCCACTCAGCCCTATATAGGACATAAAATCTTTCGTTAGTTTTTCCAACATACCTCTTTAGTTTCAAACCTCTATATATCGAACTATTTTGCACTGCATTTTACTGTACTGTACATTGTACTGCATGTTTTCCACTATATTGTACATTATACTGTACTATAGTTTGCGTTGGTGGTTTGCACATGCATGGTTACTTTTAGACTTGAATAAGATATCGCGACAGGGCTTACAGGCTCTAATTACAAAACATATCACTATTATCATATGACATAATAACATATTATGTTATAACAGATATATTTGATATAACATATATATGTTATATATAAATACTTTTTGTTTGTGGAAACACCACGTAAATTTATTACTGCAAAGCTTAGAGTTATAATTATTACTATAAGGGATATAAAAGTGTTACTTATAGAATTTCAGTACGCTATATAATATACCATATTACAACACACCAAAGCTCTATATGTAACATTCGACCCGAACGAAACTGATTAGATATTCATGCGTGCAAACAAATACACTTTCTTCGCACACCAGCTGCAGCAGACCTCTTATATAGGAAGTTGTTTTAATTAACAAGCATATGCTTGTTTAATAACGAGAGTATAGTTGACAACTTCTTGCAAGAGTGGTGGATCAATAAACTCAATTGCGCAAATAACGTTTAACATTGCAAACATTTGTCACTGCTTTTTGTTGGAGATAACCTTGTGGATACTTGGTTTTTAAACAATTTGTAGACAATCACCAGGTGGTCTCGGAACTCGGAAAAGGCCTGGTACTAATTGTTAAATAGAAATCCATTTCTGGTTTAAAATTACTCAATATCTCATTAACGGTATTAGATTTCCATCTCAAATTTGTCCCATTTATTCATTTCCCTGTGCAAGACACAGACACAAATTAAAGTTTCAAACAGTTTTACAAAAGAATCAGGACGTGACAAGTGATTAAAGGTACGAAACTGGATTTCTATTCTGTTGCTAGTCCCAGTCCTTTTGCTCACCTTCAGATCACCTGGCAGTTGGCCAATGGGTTTACATCATAGAAATACTATCTATATTTCTACGGTTTACATGCGATATTCAATCACAACTCTTCTCATTTAAATTTATTCGCAGCTGGGTGGTGTGAAATCATTACCTGTAGGTTTTACGAACGTCCTAATAGTTTTGCTCCATTCTGTTGAGTAGTACGAGTTCTTTAGAAAACAACATACTAATTAATCAAGTTTTCTACGAAAAAAATATTTCGTTCAAAATATTAACAAAAACGTTCTGTATTTATAGAATTTACCCGAGTTTCAAAAAACCTGAGGAACGCGATATAACTTGTATTCTGTTTCAGAGGTTGGTTGAAGTATTTTTGTTTTTCCGAATTATACTCCTTTCCATCACCGATCACGAACGTCAAAGGCAGAGCATCAGTTTTCAAATAAGCAGTGATGTATGGATCTTGTGTGTTGGCCTCGTAAGGCTTAAAAAAGGTTGTATGGACGTTTTCGACTGGTTTTGAATTGTTTGAGCCAATTTGTACGATGACCAGGACTTCTCTTTAATAACGAACAAATAAATGTTGACAAGATCAAAGAAATTAAAGTAGTGTGATTGGATTCGAAATTATCACCAGGGAACTATGGGTGACAACATGCAGATGCGGTTAATGTATTGCCCCTTACGTGCTATGCTAAGCCTGCTATTGCAGGTTGAATTGATACAGGATTTACTGAGGTTGCCGAGTAACTTCCCTGCATGTGCTTAAAAAGTTATTAAGTAAGTACAGTTTGGTTCATTATCTACCTTTCCTCCAGGCCCTCTGGTTTTTCTCCCTCTCAGAAAATGAACCTTTAGGTTTCAGTTAGCCTGCGTGCAGCCTGAACCCGAATTTATTAAATTAAGCCAGTTTTCCACTAGCGAATTTTCTCGCGCGAAGTGACCTTTTTCCTTTTCGGTATCACTTATTACGTCAGCAAGACGTGGTAAAATGGATGCCGACAAAGGAAAAAGGTCGCTTCGCGCGAAAAAATTCGCTAGTGGAAAACCGGCTTAAAAAGGCTAAGGTTTTAGTGATCGAGAATAGTTCGCTAAAGCAAGCGACATTTTTGTGAACACGGACGTCACTGTAGCCCTGGGAGCCATTAGAAGAATAAATCATATGCGTATAGAATATGTAATCAAGCTGCGAGAGAATAAAAGGCGATAATCAGAGAGACACTGAAGCAGAACGAACGAACTCGTGTTGA